AGCACAGCAGCCAGATAAACCGGAGCTCCGGTTCCGATTCGCTGAGCGTATCGGCCATGCTTCAAGTACCGGCCGATACGTCCGACCGGGAACTGCAGACCAGCTCTCACAGACCGGGTAACCGGTTTTTTCTTGGGACCGCCGGCTCTCCTCCCTCCTGCGCCTTTCTTGAACTTCCCACCGGTTTCCATCACCCTGCCCTCCGCGCTGGGATCAACTTCTGAACCGACTTTCCCGAGAAACAAACAGAAAATAATTAAATAAAATGTAGAAGTGAAATTTTGTGCACATGGAGCTTCAGTAAAAGGGGCAGGTGAGATATACACTGGGTTAGGTTGGAGCACTAACTACGGTTTGGAATCCGTGGACATCCACCGTTGGATTGGCTCAGATCGACGGTTGTAAGAAGCTGAGTTTGCAATCCAATTGTCTGGAGTGGACTCAAGTGTAAATTGGGCTGACTACTGTTTGCGTTTACTTTTTCTTATACAAAAGTTCAGAACCCTTTTCAAATAAAGGGGGATTCATCAATTTACCATTTGAACTTACAAGGATTAGCTAATTTCTCCTTTTAACTTTAATTTTGGTCAATTTCTCTCCTTGATTCTCATAATTAGTCAATTTGCACCTTATTGTTAATTTTTTTAATTTGAGTAAATTGTAGCTATGATCCCTTAACTTTAACTCAATTGGAGCAATGATCCATCAACTAAAAATTCATTATCATTGGTCTCTCAACTCATCAAAACGTGGAGCTATGGTCCCTCAACTAAAAATCTATTACCATTGGTCCCTCAACTTTAATTCAACTAAAGAAATTGTCTCTTAACTTTAACTCAATTGTAGCAATGGGCTTTCAACATAACTCGTTTTGACAAAAATTTTGATGCAGTTGACGAAAAAGATCATAATTACACACTTTGATGAGTTAAGGGACCCTAATTTGTATAAATGGTCATTCCAACATAACTTATTGACAAAATTTTGATGAAATTGATGAAAATGACTATAACTACTAGGGGTGGGTTCGGTACGGTTACCGTACTAAAACCCTTGTATCAATTACTGTACCAAACTTTCGGTTTGGTAAAATCTAGTACCATTACCATACCAAACTTTCGGTATACCGAAGTTCGGTATTGCCAAAAGTTCGGTTGGCATGGTATGGCAATGGTAATTGCCATTTTGTTTTGGGACAAAATCTGTTTTTGTTTTTTTAACCCAATTCATGGGCAAAACTTTTTTTTTGGTACCTTTATCTCATACATTATAGATTAAATTCATCATTCACAATTCACACACATAATAATTCAAATGATGCATCAAGATTCATCATGAAAATTAAGCTTACAATCCAAATAAAAGTTACGAACCAAAACAAATAGAAGTTAACAATCCAAATAGAAATTAAAGTTTCAAACCAAATGAAAATTGGAAGTAAACTTCAAAAAAGAGAATTCATTGATCAGTTATTCAAGCTTGAGATGTGGAAGCTTTTGGAGGAGACATTGAACATGTAGAAGATTGAGTTTGTGTCAAGCCTACATTACAAACAAAGAAAACATATTAATTAGTAGCAAGAAGAATTAAAGTTGAAAACCATTTAATAACAAATTTACTGAAAAAATTAAAGCATATCTTTCTTGTTTTCTCTTCTTCCATTTCCTTGTAAAATTGAAGCATATCTTTCGTTGATTCCTTGTAGAAGTTTACTTCATCTGCCCTAAGCCAACCACTAGTACGCACTAGTGCCTCCATTATTTTAGGAGTCAAGGATACCCTAAAAGGGTCCACAACCCTCCTCCTTAGGCTAAATGCATTTTTACTAGCAACAATAGAAATGGGGGTTACAAAGATATTTTGGCTATTTGTGAAAGAATTGGGAACTCTTTTTGTTTGATTTCCACAATTTCAAGAGATCAAAGTCAACAACAACAATGCTAATATAAGTAGGGTTTTATTTTCAAATTATTGGAATATTATAAATATGTGTTATATAATTATCTATTATATAATTTATAAATGATATATTATATTGTATTTTCGGTATGGTACGGTAATACCGTGGTAATGGTATCTATTACCAATACCGTACTATGAAATTTCGGTACGGTACAATACCGTACCATTACCGATTGGTACAAAAAATTTGGCACAAAATCGGTATGGTACGGTTGTCAATTCGGTTGGCACGGCAATTTGGCAAAAAAATCCACCCCTAATAACTACACATTTTGATAAGTTAAGAGACCAATGGTAATAGATTTTTACTTGAGAGACCATTGCTCCAATTTGATTACATTTGAGGAACTATTGCTACAATTTACTCTTTTAATTTTTCATATATACTTCTGTTAAATAGGTATCCGCATGACTGCCTTTAAGGGCAAAAAAGTCAGTTTACCTACATCTTCCGTCCTCTTCCTTTTCTCCAAGCCGGTTCCACACCACAACTGTCGTCTGCAACCCTCTGACTTTTTCATCAAATATGCCGCCCGGAACCGCTGCAAACATTCTCTTGGATGCAGATCCGTTTCTGTTGGAGCTGTTGCAATTGCCCGAAAACCCTCTGGGAGAGTAGAACTTTTCTTCCTTTTCATCTTCCTCATCATCTCGATTATGGGTCGAAACCGGTTTGGCATTCTCCCAACGGCTCAGCCTCGAGGTTTGCCGAACAAGCGGCGGAAGCGGATAGAGGTCCAGTGAGTCAACTTTTCGAGTTTCTTTTTGGGCCTTTCAACCAACACTCATCGCGTGAGTCAACTCGTTCCTCGAGTCTGCGCGAGTTGACCACTGTGCCCAGGTAGAGGAACTCGGAGCTAGTGGAGGAACCGGTCTGGACCTTGTGGGTACCACTGAAGGAGTGGCCGAGATTGGGCGCCTGGAACACCCTGCTAGTGTGCTCGGATCTAACATACGACTTTTCGTCCTCGTTGTCAGGGAAGTTGCAGCGGTTGTGGTGTGGAACCAGCATGGGCTCAGCTTGGAGAAAATGAAGAATAAGAGAAAGTTCGAAGAAAAGGAAGAAGAAAGTGAATGTAGGTAAAATGACTTTTTTGCCCTTGAAGGTAGTCATTCAGAATAAATGTGGATACCTACTTAAAGGGAGAATGGATGAAAATTAAAAAATTTAACAGTAAGATGTAAATTGACTAATTATGTGAGTTGAGGGGGAAATTGGCTAAAATTAAAGTTGAAGGGGGAAATTGGTCAATCCTTACAGGTTGAGGGGGTAAATTGATGAATACCTCTTCAAATAAATTACAACATGTATTGGCAAATAGAAAAAGTCATATTGTAGATTTGTCTCCCGAATTTGTATAGAGCTGTCAATTTCCTCCCTGATTTTTAATTTTAGCCCATTACATCTGAATAATTATAATTAGCCAATTTCTTAAACTTTAATTTTAACCGATTATTCTCCTAAACTTTTATAAATAGCCAATTATCCCCTTGATGCTAGATATAAAAAATATCATTCAATTTTCTATCTATTTTGATCACTCAAATAACACATGACAACTGTATGGGGGCAAAAATAATGGGAAACTTGATGGATGAACAAGGGAAAATTGGCTAATTATAAAACTTTAAAGTGTAATCGGCTAAAATTAAAGTTCAAGGGAAAATTGATGGCTCTAAGTGGCGGTTGGGGGGGGGGGGTTGTAAGGATGGGGGACGGACAAATACCTCAAAGAAAAAATAATTGGGCCCGTTGTTCACTCACAATAATTAAGGTAGTTTATGTGCGTCCTGTAATTAAAGTAGTTTAGAGTAATTTACCTAATTTTTTAATGTGAGTGTCATACCACCAAATTATACTAGTTTTATTATTATTATTATTATGGAAGCCAAATGATACTAATGTAAAAACTAGGATCCTCTCCTGAGCAATTCCCTAGGGATCCTAGGGATCCCGCAATCTTGTCCGTTTATTTTATATCGTACGGTTAGTTTTCGTTGGGTACTATTCATATTTGAATTTTAAAATTTAAATTTTAAATGATTTCTTACCGCACGATATACGATAAACGGACAAGATTGCGGGATCGCTAGGGAATTGCTCAGGAGAGGATCCTGGTTCCTAATGTAATGGGTAAACGATACAGTTAATCATGAACCTTGGGTATTGTACTGATAAAGAATATTGAGACAAATCTCTCTAGTCTAATCATTTGATATCAACACGTTATCAACTATCAATATGTAATTTATATTATCAATCATATCGATACTTTAATTACATAGTTCTCCATATTTTTTATCATGGAATTCTATATTTCCTGACGGACTAGTCAAGCAATTTGACCTAACTTTTTTATTTCTTTCTATTTGTGTGGACTTACAACACCATATCATATTTGTGACAATCACACTTAAAAGCTTGTTGATAAATACGACCTGTTTAATGCTTATTTTATTCTTCAACAAATGCGAACCCTTGTTACATACGTTTTCATAAACATGAAATTAATTTTTCCTCTGACTTTATATTGTAATTATGATTCAAAATTACATTGTTTAAACGTCTAGTATTAATGATCAAAGTAACGTTATTGTTAAAGTTTGTGATTAAATCTCCACATAGTGTTGTTTAGTGATTCAAATTTAATTGTTACTTTATATATAAAGTTAGCATCCTAAAATAGTGAAATTTTCAAATATTGTCAAAATAAAATAATTTAATGAAATAGGGATAAAATGGTAAAATTGAGAACATTTCAATTTAGAAATAGAAAAATAATAAACAAAAAAAGATGCCATTTCGTGCAAACAGCCGTACACCTTTCCAAAAATATCCGCAGAGAGAAATGAAAAGGAGAATATGTTAGTTGACCCGGCCCAACCCAACTAAAAATCTCCCTCGACCGACTGAATGACCGGCAGTTCGCAATGGACACATGTACGTCCATGATCTGCTGGCCCGCCAGACTCGGCCGTGGACCCATTGACGCAAAGTATTACCGTCTTCCTCTCCTGCTTATATACACAAGGAAGAGCCCCAAAAGTCCATCCGTTCTGATCTCCATTTCTGCGATCTCTGAATCTCCTTTTGACTTTTGACCCGCCACCACATTAGGCCGTCCCTCCTTTCTCCGCCATGCTCCGCTGCTAAGACCCCCGATTTCACGACGACCCTGAAGCCGGTTTTCTCAGATTTCGCAGCTCTGGTTCACGATCTGGGGCGGTTTTGCTGCGACTTTCGGGTTTAGGGTTTCGAAGGGCATACGAGAATGCCTTCGGTGCCCACTCACCTCCTCCTACGACCCTCGGTCCCTAACTTGACTTCCTTCCACGGCGGCTCTTGCTCTCATCGTCTGAAACGTCTCGAAAAGGGTGATCGGCGCGGTAATCTTAGTTAACATTCGGTTTTAATCTCACTTGGGTTCGTTTATCTTGTGGCTCTTGCTCAGCTTCCCAGTTTGTAGCGAAGGTTAGAGAGTTTTCGTCGAGATTTCTTCGAGAAATCTGAGGTTTTAGGGTTCGAAGAACTTTTTGTTCAGGCTTTAAGAAATTTGAAGTCGTTTTGTCAGATCTTGGTGCGAAGGCTTTCTTGCTGTTAACTTTTTTCGAGGTAATTAATTTTATGAATTTATGTTTATTTATGTTGATTGGTATTGTTTATATTTAGGTTCAGAGTATGAGGCAGCTGGATATTTTTGGATTATATATATGTAGTTATTTGTAGTTTATTTATGATTTGGTGAACTCTGTTGATTTGATTTCTCCGATGATGTTTGATGTTGTTAAAATGTGGATTCTGGCATTTTGTAGAATTTGTAATTGTAGATGGACATAAGCTCTCCTCGTGGGAAATCGGTGTTGCGAAATGTAGACAGTTTGCAAGGTTTGCAGCCCTCTGTGAACCAAGAGCAAATTCGTACTAGTTTGCTTGAAGATTATTCGGTAAGCGGTCTTGTAAGTGCTGTCGGTGAGTCCTTGAATATCAGCGTTGGAGAAGTCTCGACTGATGTTAAAGATGTTGGAAGAGGGTCGACTGATATCAAAGATGTTGGAAGAGAGTCGACTGATGTCAAAGATGTTGGAAAAGAGTCGAGGATTGATGTTAAAGATGTTGGAAGAGGGTCAATTGATGTCAAACATGTTGGAAAAGAGTCGATTGATGTCAAACATGTTGGAGAAGTGGAACATGCTTCTGATGGGTATAATACTATTGGTGTGGAGAAGAGAAACACACATGAAGATCCTAATGCACAGCAGGGAAAAGTCACTCGAAAATGCTTGAACAAGTGTGCAATCTTTCCTAATCCTACTGGCGTGCTCTCTCCTAATGCCTCCGCAAGCATAGTAAAGGAGGAACCTAAAGAAGCACTATGCGGGGATGAACATCATCACCAAGCCTGCTTGTGCTCGGTGTCTTTGCCTGTAAGTTATCTATATGCTTACTGGAAGAGCCTATTGTCCCCAGAGTTGTGCACTTTATTCCCCCTAATACTATGTTTTCTCTCTTGGATATCCCGTTAATCATTACCACTTTTGTTTTCAGTTGATATACTTAAGGAACCTGTTGTTATTGTAATGAGCTCATAGCCTTACACGGACTATGCCTAGCTTGATATACAGCACATCAAACAAAATGGTGAATGTGGTTTAGAGTTTCCGGTCATGCTCCCCCTCTTGGCTCCACTTCAAGTGTGGGAGGCGGAATGTGTTTGTTTCTTTGTGTTTTAGCGAACGTTCATTTTTATCCTGTTCATTATGCCTTGTCCTTGATGTTGGATGGTTTCTCTGTAGTATATCATGCAAGGTATAGAAGCGGCATATTTTTTCTGTGCATCTCCTCTATTAGGTTCTCCAGAAAATATAGACGTAAAATTTAGTGTAATTATATTTATGCATTAATGTACAACAACGTAAATTTGGCAAGTGTAAAATAGGTGGCAGAGTAGTATGCTGTCTTCTAGTTTTGGAATGATTGAACTGGCTACTTGAAAAGAAATGTTGTGATAGTCTAGTTTCCGATGATGTGCTCACTACGTAGGTCTTATGGTTCTTAATGCCTTGTGCAGGCTCCTACGAAGCTACTTTCTGCTCTGAAAGGTAGCCGGGAGAAAGAGGGCTTATCACCCGGGAAACTTTCTGTCACTTGGGCCCCTGATGTGTACGATCCGCCTGCTACATCAATGTCGCACACAGTTACAGGCAAGAAACAGCAGAAGTCAAAGAACAAGAAGAATTGGAAGAAAGATGGAAAGAAGGGGCAAAAGAGCAGCTCATCACGAGGAAAAGATAAGAAGCAATATCGCAAATCTGGGGCTTCTGAGAGGTGTCACAGATCTCTGGATCCCCGTGAAACATTGGTCGACCCAAACAATGGTTTTGGTGAGCTTGTGGTAGGCAGCCCAGACCAGCATTCTTATTGTGGGAGCTCCTTCTTGAAAAATTCGCTTACTAACGTGCATTACCCAGTTGCTGAAGCCTTGTAAGCAAACGTAATATCACATCCTACGCTGTGTGCATATAAATAAGTCACTAGAGACAATGTTATGTTTATGAGTGTCGGAGAAAACTTGGAACAATGTGCTACTCTATTTGTACCCAGTGTGGTGATTTCTTTATATGTTGTATCGTTGCTATGCTTCCTTCAGAGCAGCGTTTTGTAATTAGTATTACTGTGTTTGTGGCATGCATTTCTACTGTGAATCGGCTTTTCGCTCTCAGAATGCTATCTTCTTTGGTTGGCCCGATTATGATTTGTTAATTTTCTGCTTGGATTTTGTTTGCGTACTCTCCGTCAAGGGTTTATGAATTCATACATCAACAGCATCGTGGAACCCTAATTTATGTGGAAGTTCAGTTATGTTTGCTGTGCTTGGCGACGTTTTCATTTTGTACGGCCATTTCCCTTTTCGAGTATAACTGTTACTTAAGGTTGTGTTAGGGCCGTATAAATTGAGCTGGTGTTCTAGACCAACGGCTAAATTCAAAATGGAATTGAAGAGTTAACAGCCTGAATAATCTCATTTGGAATTCCAGTTGGGGTTGCACAATGACAAAATGAGTACTTTATGTTGTGTACTCGGCATTAATTTTAACATAATCGTAACTTAGGTCACAACCCCATGCTTGACCTCGTCCAGGGCCATCACCTGTTCAAAAGTAGAGGGCATATCAAACACGAAATATTTACAAAAATAGTTGAGTTTGCAGGTTTAGTAGTCAGTCAGATTAGGTATAAATTATAATCATGGTTCTAACTGAATATCCGACTTGAATCTCCTCCAAATGTTTCAGAAACTTACCTACGGATACACTAATTACAACTGTGCCGTGGATCTCACCAGCCTTCTTGAGGTAGTTACTAGCCGTACTCCTGAAAGAAATATAGCTAGTCAAACTACTAGGTTTAAGGTCGATCTCCTCGGAGGGGAGAAAGATGACGAGCCGAAAGGAAAAGGGAAATGTCCTTGACACAGAGCGAAACGAATTTTGTTACCTGTCGAATAATTGTGGCTCCCCACCATTCATGAGCAGAATATCCCCTAGTAATACTTGGAGCTTGCTTTGGTCGAAAGGTATCCCTGCATAGCCTGCAGCAGCAGCAATTCGTCCCCAGTTTGGGTCTCGGCCATATATTGCAGCCTGATTGACATTTGGGAATTAAATTTAGTATTTGGTACACATGAGCATCAAAAAGTTAGGCCGAGTTCGGATATCATGCCTTTACTAGTGAAGAAGATGCCACCGACCGTGCCATTTTTGCTGCTTCAGCCTCACCGTCTGCACCAGTCACCGTGACCTGCACATCTAAATCCGGATTAGCAAACACATCTTCGAAATCATATATGAAATAACTCAATTTCATCATCCTCAAAAATGAAAGTGCAAACAATTAGCGTAGTCTTGTACTTACCCAGATCCCACACTGAGCACTTTACAATACTATGTTATACTTGTGAGATTAAAGAACAATTTGACTTTAGCTTGAAAATTAAAATTAGAAAAACAGTGAAAATTAGCAATCTGGAATAAGAATGCAGACCTCAATTAAGCAGGTTGCTCCTTCTCCGTCCCAAGCTATTGATTTGGCAAGACCTTGCATTACCTGCAAAATGACACAACAATTGCAATCCTAAAAATTGGATTTAGACCATACAACAGCTCAAATGGAAAACACAACTTTTTTTTTTCCATTTAATTCCTGAAATTTGAATCTCACTCTAGGAGATTTTTAGACCACAGAGGTTAGGTAAAAATCAAATGCGCGGAACTAACCACATCAAGGCATGCTTGAAGTTGGACTGCTTCGTTACTGTTGTAGGAAGATATCTTGGTTCCAGATAGTCCACTAGCTAACGCAATGACAGTATCATTGGTGCTTGTATCACCATCTACCTGCAACAAGAAAACACCTTAAGTGGGTTATCATACTACAAAAGAAAGATGCAGCAGCTTGATTACACTCTGTCGGGTGTTAGTCCCACTAACTATGATATTCCGAAAAAAGAGAAAATAGAAAGTTTACTTACTGTTATTTGGTTGAAGCTTCGGTTGACAGCAATTTGAACCATTTTTCTCCAAACATCACTGCTAACCATTGCATCGGTTGTTACTACCTGTTCCCATATAAAACTCTTAGTAACATTATGTACTAGTAACAAACATCAGGAGTAACTTTAGAAGACGTACTCCCAGCATGGTAGCCATATTTGGGTGGATCATCCCGGAACCTTTTGCCATTCCCCCGACCCTTATATTTGTCCCTCCAACCTGAGCAATCACCAGTTTAGTAAGGACCTGACTGATTTTTCAAAGTTGTTTTTATTTCCAATGTTGTTTACTTGGTAGTAATATGCAGAAGCTAGATCAAAATTAAAGAATGTGACATTAGTTTACATTAAAGAGAGTAAATATACTTGGAAATTGTAATGACAACGTTTTGGCATCGCTGATTATGCATAAAACAAAACTTCAAACAAAAGCAAGCAACATAAGAGTTGCTCCTGCTTGGGTCAATGGTACAGTGTCTTTATCAAGACCCGTACAAGACAAGCACTGAGCACATTAACAAAAACAATTCCAAAAAATAAAACATATATCTCATGCATCAAGGATATAAATACAGGAAACATTGCACACCTGAGACTGAATTGCCACACTCTTGCTAACGAGGTCGGTTGTTGTGATTGCCACTGCTGCAGCATTTGCCCTGCAGAACGAACCAAAATGGCACATCAGGGTGATAGATTTAAATTTTTTTTAATCCCCATAGTTTCACAACAAAAAAGAATAGCATGCACTCAAAAAACAAGAGAGTTAGTTTACATCAAAGAGAATAAGTACTTGGAAATTCGATGCCGAAAATAAATACAACCAGGTACATAAACGTGAAAGTATGCCATTTATATGAGCTAAGTTTACAAGCATTAACATTTACCCATCAGTTGATGATGACAGTGAATTAACCAGTTTTGGAAGAGATTTTAGAAGTGCTTCCTGCATAAGAGAATTAACAAATGAATCGTTTATACAACACTAAGAACATGTCAAGTTATATATCTGCCATAAAAATATCATGTAACATTTATCAGTCAATCTATTAATATTCCAAGAAATCCTGTGCACATCAGTATGATTAAAAATGAGCAGAAGGAAACAGAAATATGGTGGCTATATATTAACCTTCTTTATCATTTGACCAATCACACCAGTGGATTCAATCAGCACTTCCTCTTGTCTCAAATGAAGCAGCTGCAGTACAAAAATTCATGTTGAACTTGATAAAAAAAAAAAATCCAGCCTATGCGAGAGTATCTATGAGATTCACGTGTTTGTCGCCCTCCACATACCTTAGCAAGGCTGCTGGAGCACTCTATTACATCTTGATATCCTGCATCACCCTGGACAGAATTGGAATGTATATCATCTGTGCAAAACTTAACTGTAACAACATACTCGGAGAGTGATTTAACAAGCTACAAAGTTTGGAAGACAAAATAAATAGAAAATTGACAATAGGCATCGATAAATGTCCTACCGTTGCTGCATTGGCTTGACCAGCATTGATCAAAACTGCTCGTGCCTAGCAGATAATCAAAAACACAAAAATGATATCAAACACAACAACAAATTTACAGTAATCCCAGCATCATTAGCTAATAAGTGAAAGAAGCATTGAAACAAAAGACAGTCAAGCACACCGTTTCTGAAGTCTTTAATACAGATTTGCAATACAACACCGGCGCAGCTGCTACCACATTCGTGGTAAACGATCCTGCAATTAATCAAACTTAAAAATCATTACAAAAATGAAAATTACACAGAATCAACTAGCTCAAGATGAGATTAATTACTCACCAGCAGAAGTGGCATCAACATCACAAGTGACAAGTGCGAGATCAGGCTTGTCACCTCTGGCACGAAGACCGCCATACAATCCTGAAGCTTTGAATCCTTCTGCAGCTGTAACTCCGCCGGGAATCTACAGAATCACGAATAAAGTCACAGTCTTGATCAATATTAAAGAAACATGAAAACGAAATTGCACAGAAAAATGCAAGAAGTAAAACAAAAACAGCATCGTGGAGAAGGTCAACCTGCTTCCAAGGTCCTTCTGGAAGGAAAATGGGGGCTGCCGGAATGTGAGCGGAGACTTCAACTGCAGACATGGAAATAGCGGGAATTTTGAAGTCCCGTCCAGACGAACCGAAACAAGGGATTGCTGAGAATTTGACGGAGATGGATTGAGGAGCGAAGAGATACATTTCGGCAATAACACCTTGGAGTTGGATTTGAAAACGGTGGTTTTAGGGTTTTGCGGCTGTTAAACGTATTCTTTCTATTTTTTGGGCGGCCGAAATGTTTCAAACAGTGTGGACGTAAGAAGGAGAAAGTTTTAAAGGGTTAATATTTGGGAACTAATACTTGGGTACTCACTGGTGAGTACCCAAAAAATGACTCTTTGAAGTGGTCCAATTAAAATTTTACACCTGTTATGTCCATATACTTCCAAACAGATTTTTCAGTGTAACCGTCACACGAGGTGGTACACCACATGTTTCTATATAAATGGTGGTTTATGTGTGTTAAAATGTTAATAACTGAAAAATTAAAATTTTCCAACACTTACATAAAAACACATGGTGTATCATCCGTGTTTTCGTCATAACTAAAATTTCTCCTAGATATGGAGAAAATTTTCATTTTTATGGGAACACAAGTGGTACACCACATGTTTTAATAGAAGTGGTGGGAAATTTTATTTTTTAAGTAATTAACTTTTTAGCACATATATCCTACTATTTGTATAATGACACGTGATGTACCATTCGTGTATCGGTTACATTGAAAAATCTCTCCTAGATATGCTCATACACAAACATCCCTCATCTTCCTCACCGTAAACCCATCTCTTCTCCATCTGCTCTGATCGTTTCTCTCCGACAACCCCAACCCTAATTCCATTTATTTTCCAACAACCACCTCTAATCCTTCGCTTCTCTGGCAATCGCCTCCGATTCTAATTTTTCCGGCAACTGCGAATAGACGGCCTCCCGCGATGGACGTTGTTGTTCCCCATCGGCCTTAACCTACTGCTCCCCGATGGATGCCCTTGATTTCAATCTTAGGAAAACTAATGAAAATGACTTGAAAATTTTGAGTTTTAATGATAAGGACAAAATAAAAGGTAAAATGTGATAACAGTATACAAAGCAAGCTTAACAGCTTGTGATCGTGTGGTTGTAATAGTGACAAGTGTAGTCATCATGTAATCTTTGTAATAGCTTAGAAAGTAAGCAATCTAGTTAGATATATACTCTACATAACCATCATTGTAAACATATGAAAAAGTCAAGAAATAAAAAAGCATCTTTTCTGCCTAAAACTCTCTTTCTCTCTCTTCGTATACCTATTTCTTCTTATGCAAGAATACATCTTCTCTGTATTTGTTGGTATCTTTACATGGTATCATTCGCCGGAAAAGCTTCGTGCTTGAAGGTTAATTGATCTTGGTTCTTCTGCTTCCGCTCTATCTCTTTTATTTCTCGATCTTTTTAGGGTTCTCATTCCCCTATTCTCATCTGGTTCTCGATGGTTGTAATTGTGCACACCAGGTGTTTGATCTTTTGTCTCAGTGAAATTTTCTTCGAATTCTTGATTCATATTGGATCATGGTGACTACGCAATTGCAAATTCTTCAATCTCCTATTACCTCTCTCATCTCATCAGTTTCATCCTCTATTTCTGTGAAACTTGATGATTCTAATTACCTCACATGGCATTTTCAGATGGAGCTTCTTCTCGAAGGCCATGGTATTATGGGGTTTGAGGATGGTACAAACCCTTGTCCTGCGAATCATAGCGATTCAATTGAGTCTTCCAGTGATTTGCATAACAGTGATGCTTTTAAGATTTGGAAATGCATGATCGGGCTCTCATGCAACTCATCACGGCCACATTATCTCCTACTGCGATTTCGTGTGCTATCGGTAGCACTAGTGCTCGAGACTTGTGGGTGCGTCTTAAGGAACAATTTTCCATTGTTACTCGGGCCACAATCTTTCAGATGAAATCTGAGTTGCAGAATATCAAGAAAGGTACATATTCTATTTCCTTATATCTTCAACGAATTAAAGAAGCTCGTGATTACTTGGCTGCGGTTGGAGTTCTATTTGCTGATGATGATATTGTGATTCTAACTCTTAATGGTCTGTCTTCTGAATACAATACATTGAGGTCTATTATTAGAGGTAGGGAGAATGTTATCTCTATGAAGAATCTTCGCTCACAATTGCTTGTTGAGGAAGCAATGCTTGCTAATGTTCCTGTTACTCCTTTCCTATCTGCAATGGTAGCTAGCAATTTGTCTGATGCGTCTAAGCCTCCGCACTTTGAGTCCAATTCGACTCTTCCTCATTACTCCAGCAATGGTTATTCCTCAAATGGCGGTTCATATAGTTCTTAGGGAAGCTTTTATTAGTCCAATGGGTCTGGTTCTAAATCTACTTACAACAACAACAAGGGTAAATGCAAGTATCACTACAATTCCTAGTTTGGTAATGCAAAGCCTGGTTCTTTTCATAACAATGCTCCTGGTATTCTTGGTACCTCTCCACCAAAGGCACAAGGATTTTTCCAAACTCTATGTCAAATTTGTGGAAAATTTGGACATCTAACTGTTACTTGCCGGTTTCGAAATACTGAGAACTCTATTCCCGAAGGCTGTCAAATCTGTGGAAAAAGGAATCATAGTGCTCTTTTCTGTCATTTTCGAAATGCCAACCTACAAACTCAGCAAGTGTCAGCTATGCATGTTGCTACTCCATCATCTGTTCCCAATGCTCATCCTCAACAAATTTGGCTCATAGATTCTGGGGCTACATCTCACATGACTGCTGACCTAAATCAGTTGTCATTGGCTTCTCCATTTCCTTCCAATGAGACAATTCAAACAATGGGTGGTGGTGCAGGTTTATCAATCTCCCACATTGGTTCATTAACTCTACATACACCTTTCAAACCACTGCATCTTAATTCGGTTCTATATGTGCCTAAACTAACTCAGAATTTGTTATCCATGCATAAATTGTGTCTGGATAATAACTGCTGGTTAATATATGATGCTTTCTGTTTTTGGATCCAGGACAAAGCCACAAGGAGGATTCTCTTCAAGGGACATTGCAGTAATGGATTATACCCTATTCCCCTACCAGTTTCATATCATTCTTCCTTACCCAGAGTACAAGCTGCTTTCCTTGGACAACATGTATCTTCGAGTCTATGGCATAATAGATTAGGCCACCCATCCAATTTTATAGTATTTGCAATTTTAAGAAAATGTAATGTATCTGATATACCTGATCATAAGTCTAAGATGTGTCACTTTTGTCTAGAAGGGAAATTTTGTAAATTGCCATTTGGTGACTCTGTCTCTAAGTCCATACATCATTTTGATATTGTTCATAGTGATGTATGGGGTCCTTCCCCTTGTAATTCTGTGGAGGGTTTTAGATACTATGTGACATTCATTGATGAATGCACTAGACATTGTTGGCTCTTTCCTCTCATCAATAAAAGTGATGTTTGTTCCACTTTCATTGCCTTTTACAATTTTGTGTTAAATCACTTTGCTCTTTCTGTTAAAACTTTACAAAGTGATGGGGGAAGTGAATATATTAGCAAGTCATTTCAACAGTTTCTTGTGACCAAGGGTATTAAACACCAACTTTCATGTCCATACACCCCTGAACAAAATGGCCTAGCTAAAATGAAGCATAGGCATATTGTTGAAACAACCATAACCCTTTTGCAAACTACCTCATTGCCTCCAAAATTCTGGTATTTTGCATGCCAAGTTGCTGTCTACCTTATTACCAGAATGCCAACACCTGTTTTACACAACAAATGTCCATTTGATTGTTGTTTAAAGATGTACCAGCTATCAATCATCTTCGGGTATTTGGTTGTTCTTGTTTCCCACTGTTAAAACCTTACAATAACACCAAGTTGCAACCTAAAACAACAAAATGTGTCTTTTTAGGCTATGCTTCTAGATACAAGGGCTACCTATGCTGTGAAGTGAGTCAACAAAAGATGTATATATCTAGGCATGTTATTTTTTATGAGAGTGAATTTCCTTATGCCATGTTGTCTTCCAAAATCTCAAATTCCTCATCTTTTCCTCCGTCTATTTTGTCATCCTCTATTTCAATGCCTTCTGTTACACATGATAATTAGGTTGTTTCCATCTCATCTGCCTTTAACTCACCTACACTTGAGTCTATTCCTAACTCACCATACCCTGAATCCATTACTGCAACACCAACACAGTCTATTCTACCTTATTCCCCTGTGGTTGCAGAATTGTCCTCTGGATCTAATCATCATGATCACACTGAGTTTTCTTCTGAGTTTCAACCTGAGAGTTTGCAAGTGGTTCCTTCTCTCTAACCTATGAATACACATGCCATGCAGACAAGATCCAAAAATGGCATCTTCAAGCCTAAAGTTTTTCTCTCAACAATTGGAGAGGATAATCCTCTTGATTTCACTCAGGTGGAACCTTCAACATACAAGTCTGCTCTTAAATCCTCAGTATGGAGTGCAGCTATGAAAGAAGAGCTCTCAGCTTTACATTCTCAAGGAACTTGGTCCTTAGTTCCTCTTCCTGCAAACAAGAATTTGGTAGGGTGTAAGTGGGTCTTCAAGATTAAAAGAGATGCAGATGGGAACATTTCTAGATAAAAGGCAAGACTTGTTGCCAAAGGCTTCAATCAAGAAGAGGGTATTGACTATGGGGAGACTTTTAGTCCGGTTGTTAAACCACAACTGTGAGGTTAGTTTTCGCTTTAGTTGCACAGTTTGGTTGGTCTTTAAGGCAACTTGATGTGAAGAATGCCTTTCTTCATGGCATTTTACAAGAAGAGGTTTATATGTCTTAACCTCTAGGTTTTGTCAACTCTCACCAACCCTCTCATGTTTGTAAATTACATAAATCCCTATATGGCTTGAAACAAGCCCCAAGGACTTAGAATGAGAGGTTTACCAATTTTTTGCCTTCTCTGGGTTTTCTTACAACATATTCAGACTCCTCCTTGTTTGTGAAACATGTTGGACATTTTGTGGTCATTCTCTTGCTATATGTGGATGATATAATCATCACAGGCAGTGCTACTGCAACTATTACTGATGTTATACAGGCTTTAGCTCAAGAATTTGATATTAAAGATTTGGGACCCCTCCATTACTTCTTAGGGATCCAAATTACTCATCATTCTACTAGATTATTCCTTTCATAGTCTAAGTATGTTTCAGATTTGCTTCACAAGACTGTATAGGTCTTTCAAAACCGTGTAATACCCCTTGTCTGCCTTATACTAGGTTACTTAAAGATGATGGAAAACCCTTTCATGATCCAGCATTGTATCGAAGTGTGGTGGGTGCTCTGCAATATCTTACATTTACAATACCCGACATTGCTTTCTCTATGCATCAAGTGTGTCAGTTTATGCACTGTCCCATGGAATCTCATTTTATAGCTGTGAAGAGAATCCTCAGATATCTGAAACCCACAATGGATTATGGTGTTCAACTAAGCAAAGGGGATTTATGTTTAACTGCATTCAGTGATGCTGACTGGGCTGGGGATCCAAATGACAGACGGTCTACTACATGTTTGGTGGTCTATTTAGGGTCTAGTCCCATCTCTTGGTCATCCAAGAAACAAAATATCGTTTCTAAGTCCTCAACTGAAGCTGAGTACCGAGCACTTTCATCCACAGCTGCAGAGATTGACTGGATCACTCAACTTCTGAAGTTTATTCGGATTGATGTCTCATGTCCAGTCACTCTTTTCTGTGACAATCTTTCTGCTATAGCCTTGGCTTATAATCCAGTTATGCACCAACGGACAAAGCACATTGAAGTTGATATTCATTTTGTTCGAGAAAGGGTTGCCAAGAAGTTCCTTCAACTTCAGTTTGTTTCTTCCAATGAACAATTTGCCGATATTCTTACCAAGGGATTGTCTACTCCATTGTTTAGGACACATTGTTACAATCTCAGGTTGAGCAAACCTTCTCCGGTGATTGAGGGGGGATGATAACAGTATACAAAGCAAGCTTAACAACTTGTGATCGTGTGGTTGTAATAGTGACAAGTGTAGTCATCATGTAATCTTTGTAATAGCTTAGAAAGTAAGCAATCTAGTTAGATATATACTCTACATAACCACCATTGTAAACATATGAAAAAGTCAAGAAATAAAAAAGCATCTTCTCTGTCTAAAACTCTCTTTCTCTCTCTTCGTATACCTATTTCTTCTTCTACAAGAATACATCTTCTCTGTATCTGTTGGTATCTTTACAAAATAAATAGTACCAGGTTTGACTTTTTAGTGTAAAAATGTGGTTTTTCATTAAAATGAACAGAACCGCAGGTTTTTCATTAAATCTCCCTTCAATCTTCTGTTGTGTGGTCATAATACCGATCTTCAAGCCATGGTGAGGGCGATGTTTGTATAAGTTGTTACCGTTGTTTGGTTACATGTTTTATATAACTTAAACTTTAACAGGTGTCCTATTTACACCACTTCAAAGAGTCACTATTTTGTGTACTCCATAGTGAGTAGCCAAGTATTGCCCTGTCTTGCATGTGAGTACTACCGTCAATGCCACATATAACAAGTTCAAAGACAAGATAATGAAAGTGTTGCCTCTTAGTACTACAATTAATGGTAATGTTCACAAGTTTAAGGTTCGGTTAATGTTCTTATGCTTTTCTTTTTCAAGCATCTTATTGTGATAATTTTTTCACGGTTATGTTACAAACTATTACTTGCTCTCTAACAACCCAAGTAGTCAAGGTTTACTCTTTATCATGAAAAAAATAATCAACTCGGGTTTTTTTTTTTTTTTTTTTGATAAAAAATAATCAACTCGGGTTTGTAAAGAAAAACACTCCTCAAAATCCATATCGGTGGATATCTTCGTAGGGAAACATTCTGTTTTAATAATTTGTCAAAGCTAAACAGTGGTGCAGCAAGATCACGGTGTTCCACCATTCGTGCCTAACAAATATCACCCTTAAGATTAAAAACTGAAAAAAAAAAATCAAATTTTCGAAGTGCATGGTTTAACAGAATCAGTGTAAGTTTTTTTTCTTCTTTTTCAAAAGGGGAATCAACTAGTGGTAAGTCATGATTATCCACTCATTCCCGACCTGGAAGAGCTATGGGAAATTTCACGTTTCCCGTGACCACAGTCAAGTAAACTCACCAGCTCGGAGCATCGAATCCGGAACCTCCCACATTTTTTTGTTTATTGGGGAGCCGCAGCCCGCCAACTTACCACTGGGCCACTTGCTGTGGTTTCAATGTAAGTTCCATAGGTAAAATGTGCCAGAAAGGTTAAGAGAAGGAAATTTAAAGCACGGATAACCGTGTTTAAATAATTCAAGTGTTTCATA